ATCTATATTACTTAAAATTAAATTAATTTATTTTGATTCTATTTCTAGGTGTTTGAGTTTATGGGTTACTTACTATTTTTTAATTTTAGGTTATGTTTGGATCTGAGTAATATATTAATGTTCTTAAATCTTAGTTATATATTATTCATATTCCAAGTAAACACATAATATTTAAATGATGCTTCCCTAAATTAATGATAATTAATCTTAGTAGTTCTTCTTTATATTTCTATGAGTCTGGGTAGTAATATATTAGTTTTCTTAACATTTTACGATTCTAAACTTTTTTATATCCCAATTAAAAACATACTTTACATGTAACATCTAATTAATAAATTTTACTGTTTGTAATTCTTATTTTATTGTTCTTCTCTGGAAGTTTACTAAATATATTTATTCTTATAACTATAAAAAAACTCATTGTTAACAATTTTTATTTTACTTTTTTCTAGGTTGAGTATTTAATTTCTTAAAATCTTAGTATTCTAAATATATCCATATTCCTAAGTAATACTGCATATAATATCTTTATCAATAATATTTACTTAGTAATTCTTTTTTTACACTTTTCGGAATATATCAGTGTTCTACATATATAGTCTATGCTATTGTGTGTGTATATATATACATATAAAAATATCAAAAGAAAAAAATTGTATAAAATTACTAATTTTTGTACTCATCCAACATTTGCTCAATACTAGGAAGTTGTAGCCAAAGAGGAAAAAACTCTCCTTTTACCACAGCCCCTCCTACTCTGCCCTTGCAACCAAGGAAATTTTCTTTATCACAACTCCTCCTTGACACCAAAGTTTCACTCGCTCCAGGTTTCTCTTCTTTACTGCAACTCCATAGCCTCAAAGTTTGCAGAAGAAGAAGCAGTGCCAAGTGCTAGAGATGGAGGCCCAGGAGCTTGCGTTGCTCAAGCATAAAGTTTATGGATGGGTATGTCAAGTGATCGTGCTTTGCAATGTTGGATATACAAAGGCTGGCTCATGTGTGTAGGGTCTTATCCATCCTATTTTTCTTTAGGGCTGGATTAGCAATGGACTGCTATGGCTGCTTGGATCTCTTATATGCTGCACAAGAATTTTCCACTCATCTTTGTAGGATGCCCCAGCTAGGAATAGGTAAGATCTTTTCGTTCTTTCAGAGGAAATTCTATTTTCAGGTTTTGTGCTGGGTTTTAACACGGGAGAAGTTGGCTCTCACAATGGTAGCTATACTGCCATGGTTGGGCAAGCGCAATTAAAGGCATTCATTTTACCAGCAGTGGATGACTTTGAACTCTTGATTTTATGTAAACACCTCTAGGTTGGCTGTGAGATTGATGTTGTCCCACCCATAGTCACTGGAGTAGTTCCCAATGAGAAATTCTTTATGTCTCTTTCTACAATTACAATTCTCTTATACAAAACACTGCAGGAAAACTAGAGCTTTGCTTCAAGTTGTCATATAACTCTTTGCCAATGTATTTGTCTTTTGGCTCAGAATTAAATTTTTTCGATAACTTCACCTTGCCAACTCGCCAGCTTTTTGCTGGGCAATTTGTAGAGCATCTTCTAAGGTTTCCTCTTACTCCTGATTTGCCTTTCTTCTCTTTCTCCCCTTTTTTCCTTCTCATCCCTTCGTTTTTTTTCCTCAGTGCTGATCAGGGTAGTCTCATTGGTGAGTGAGTGAGAGAGCTAGACAGGATCCAATCTTTCTTAGTAGCATCACATCAAGAAGAAAGAGGAAGAAGAAGAAGAAGAAGACATGACTTCTCCAAGGCGATGCTCCATCCTCCTTTAAATGATGGCGCTTGCTGCCAGGGATCGATCTACTCGCTCACACTGGAGGGACGAGTTCATGAAGAACATCACTCCACCTTTTAAGAATAGGTTAAGATCATTAGGGTTGCAAATGAATCAAGAAATTGAGGAGGAGGTGTTGCAGCAGCTGCCGCTGCGCGATGTCTGGCGGATGAGAGCAGTGTGCAAACGGTGGCGGGAATTGATCGACTCCCCAGTGTTTGGCGTGCGGCACGCACAGGCAAGCATTCCAGCAGCTGTTCCTTATGTTCTTGCAGGCACGTTGTGCGGAAGGATGTTCAGGGGCAACTCATTTACGCCTTCAACTGGATAGAGATGGAAGTGTGCCCACAGGGGGGGTTTCTTATAGGAAGTGCTGGTGGATTGCTCTGCTTTTTAAAAGGGAACCAGGTCCTAGTAGCCAATCCAGTCACTGGATGCTTTAGAGCGTTGCCAGATCTCAGGGCTAAAGGGCTGATTTCATCCTCTTACATGGGCATCAGTCAAGACTTCAAGGAATACACAGTCTGCTTTGTAAAAAGTCGTTCTTGTGAAGAAAAAAAAGTTGAGATCAGAGGTAAGGTGAGAAGTGTCTACACAATGTTTACAACAGCTCATGTATACAACTCGAGACTGGGATGCTGGAGGGCTGCTAGCACACCATTGGGATGGTGTCAGTTGGAGAATATGGGGGAAATGGTGGGCAGCGCTACTTTGTATTTGCTTTGTGGTCACTACAAGAATTTGAATGATCCAGAGTATGTTGGTCTGTTCACTTTGGATTTGGAAGGGTTGAGGTTTGAATTAAAGCAGACTTGGCCATGGGACGAGCGGCTACACAGGAATCATGGTTTATTTGTTTCCTGCCATGGTCGGACAGGTGTGTTGTGCTGCACTCAATTCAAAAACAGCATGCAGCTATGGTATATGCAAGGAGAAACAGGTGGTGATGTTGGAGGTGAAAATCTGGCTAAAGGTGTTGGTAAAGCCAATGCTATATGTTTGAATGGAGCTGTTTTATTTGTGGAGGAGAAGTCTTTATCTACAACCATTTTGAATTTATCTACTACAGATGCAGTTGCTTTCCCATTTCAGAAAAATTCCGCTCTAGCAAATTTCGTAGAATTTACACCTTCGCTTTTATTACCATAACTTGTATTGTGTTTCTTTTCATAATATGAATTATTTAGTCTCGTCTATTACTTTTATTTTCCTCCTCGACAGCACTGGCCCAAGCGCCCGATATGAATGCATGAGGTATGCGCATCTCTCTCTTTGTTTCTCTCGCTGCTTCTAGGGTTTCCTCCCTAGTGCTCCTGATGCGTGCTCTGGAGCTCCGTGCTGCTTGTGATCAATAGCTCATCTCGTGTGATCTGTTTATCCTCCCTCCTTTCTTTTCTTTCTCCCCCTTTTTTTCTGCAAAAGTTGGAGACTTGATCAAGAGATACAAATGGCTATATCAGTATACAAAATATTTTTAAAAATGGAGGAATAAAATCTTGTTTAGAAAATATTGTTTCTTTTAATTGTGCTGATGTTTTTTCTATGTATTATTTCACTTTAAAAGGAAATAAACTATAACTCTTAGTCAACCTTTTTAGGTTTCAAAGAAATATCTTAAAGTTTCACAACCAATCAATATTATAAATACAATCATAGTAGAAATACATTGTTTATTTTTATTATGTTGGAAAGTGCATGATTATATTTTAGAGTTTGTGTTTGCTATGCTTAAGAATGTTTGAATGATTTATTTGAAGAGAAAATTGGGAACGTTAGGTTTTTCAAGAGCAAAGAGTCAATAAAAATGATGCATTCTAAGAGAATTAACCATAGAAGACAACTATATTACTGAAGAATTTCTTATACCAAACAGCAAGGTTTCCTTTATTTTTTATAGTTTTTATGCAATTTCTTTTTTATGACTGGTTTGTCTTTAATTCTATGAATGCACCTAATAAGGCTAAGTGCTTGTTTAGAATGCATAGCATTGAATATTAATGTTAATATCTTAGCCATTGCACATCATGATAAATGGTTGGTAATGGTGTTGCCACTATGGCCTCTTACCCTCTACTCTTTATTCCATTGAGATTGTTCTAATGAAATTCCTATGAAGTCTCTAGTTTTTAAATAGCTAGAACAATTTTTATGCCCTTGAGTGTGGAGAGCTATTTTCAGAAGTTTAATGACTTAGCTTTTAGGTTTACATAGCTATGTTTGATAGACATCCTTTTAACTTAGAGGATAATATATAGTTTTATATATAGAAAGTGAGAGTTCCTAGTGAGATCTAAAGGATTGCAAAACATCATCAACTCATCATCTTGGGTGACTACTAACTTTTCAACTTCCAACTCAACAACTATTAGAGGATGAGCTTGAGTTACAATTTGTAGTAAACAGCCTTCTTCATTGAGACCAATTAACATGAAGGCAAAGCATTGTCTACTAAAAGTGGCAGCAATGGATGGTGTGCCTCCTACCTTTGCATGGTGATAGCAAATGTTTCCAAGTTGTAGGGGGAATCTGGTGAGCCTGGAGACTCTGTTTACATTTCAACATACTTCACCTGTGAGTCAAGGACACCTACGATGATCTCTGTTCCCACACCCTGTCTATTTACTATAGTGACTGGCTCAATCGGATCTAAGCACCCCTATCCAGAAGATCCAAGCCCCATGCCTCCCTACCAACCATGTTTCTGCAAGAGTTGATAACTAATATTATCACTCTTGAACTGTGGATGTGAGCCAGCAATCCACTCCTCATTCTCGTTGACACCAATATGATCATCCATGAAATCATGTGGTCCTAAGAAGTGAACGAGCTTCACCAATATGATCATCCATGAAATCAAATATGTGAATTTTCTCCAAATTAATCAAGAAAACATTTTCTAAACAGCTCAAGACCACCCATATACCCCATTTACAAATGCAACACAGATCCAACAAGAAATAAAGGCAAGAATATGACATCAAAATCCTCAAATCCCTACACAAACCTAGCCATTTTGGATTTATTGGATAGATTATAATGTGGCACCTCTCTTACAACAAAAATCAGCTCAATCCACTCTATATCCTGCAAGAATTCTTCCAAACATCAAATCACCCAAAACTTCAACTTTTATCTGGGACGTTCTTTTTGCAGATTCAAAGGGTGGCCAAGAAGTATGAGGTATGTTTTGACCTTGAAACCCTAAAATACACTATAAAATATGCTTGACATATTCCTCTTCATTCGCAAGCCATGATACAGCCTTGAAGCTCTCTCCATTTCATTCAGTGGTATGCTTCCTACGAATGACTAATGTCTATAAGCAAGAAAAGACCTACCAAGAGCAATGAAGGTAAGACCTCGACTTCCACTTGAAAGGGTAATGCTTCATCAGCTCTTCTTCTACCTTCTTGCCTTCCTCCGTCTTCCTTCTCCGTGAGAGTGCATGAAACTCCTGTTAGTGCTTCCCTCCCAATACCAATTATATGAGAATTTACTTAGCGGCGGCTCCTAAGTAATTACATAATGCCAGTATGAGAAACGAAAGACATTCGTGCACACTAACACAACAAACCAGGGCATCTTGAGCGAATTTGCCACCACTCTTGCAAATGGTCCATCCAGCTCCATCTCCCCACGAAATAGGATGCCTTCCTCCCTGGATGAAAACCTAGAACTAAAAAACAATGGAAGAAATATGAATGCTTCCAGCTCGATTGGGATCCAGAAGCTGCGATGGCTCAGAGGGAGGACATCCTTCTTTTCGCTGAGAAAGTACCATGTGCTAGCTGATGCCAAAAGCCTGCATTCCCTGGTGGCCCTCTATCTCGTTTCCAGCAATACCACTGTGGAAGCCCTCTCCAAACCATATCCTTCACGAATTGTTTTTATTGGCATGACTCAATGTTAAACAAAATCTTTTCCGGTTTACTTTCCTAATAGCCAATCTGGCATGGAGTTTTGGACAAGGTTCTCGCTGCTCGAAGCGCGAGATCAACCCATCTAGAACCCGTCCTCCTAACTCCTAAATCCGCCTGATCGCCTCGCCCCTTGAAACCAAACCGCATCTCTCTCTGGATCGTTCAAGAAGCCGAGTTCACTCGGTGGTGGATGAAAAGATGCAGAGACCTCTGTTGGAACCTCGGGCTCCATCGCGATGGTTCTAAACGTTTCTGAGGTACTATGACAGAGCAAATGATTTATCAACCAGTTTGGTTCAAGAACTCGGAGTAGTTCAACAAACATAACTTTTATAAACTTCTAATGCCACGAACATGCATCACATTTTACCGAGTACAAGCGGCACTCCATGGATAGGCTTCAAGCCAAACTTCATCGCAGGATTATGGCGGTAGTTCGGTGAAAGCCGGAACAAGAATCGCTGTAGTATCATAGCCAGAATGACTTTGGCTTCGATCATCGCAAACGACTGGCCCACGCACACCCGCGGCCCAAACGAAAACGGCATGAAAGCATTTGGATGCTTGCACGCGCTGGAGATCCCATCTTTGAAGCGATGCGGATTGAATTGGCCTGCATCTTCTCCCCAGAGCTCCTTATCCTGATGCAATCCAGCGATTGGAAACGACACAGATACTCCTTTTGGAACGTGTAAATCTTGCAGCCAAGACTCCTCCACACACTCCCTGGTCATCTCGATTGCTGGTGGATACAGCCGCAGAGTTTCGTAAAGGATCATTCCCACCTGTTCAAGAAGCAAGATGTTAAGTTCTGGAATTAGGAGATATTGATTGACTTACGAGCTTGAGCCTGCTGACACTCTCGCCATCAGGAATCTCATTGCCACATACTTCGTGTACCTCAGCACGGGCGCGTTCTTGCCATTCAGGATAGCCTCCCAGTAGCATCAAAGTCCAGGTTAGTAAGGTCGCTGTGGTTTCATGCCCCGCAATGTAGAATGTCTTGCATTCCTCTATCAGATCCCTGCTTGTGAAATTACTGCTGCTGTCACACTCCTTTAGCATCAGTCCGAGTAAGTCATTCCCGTATGTATTGCTTTCCCCTGACTTCACTGAGTTCCGACGCTCGTCTATGATCCCAGTGATCAGAGAATCCAACTCCTGATGAAGCTTCCACATTCGGAGGTTGATTGGAAGCGGGAGAAACCTGTAAGCAAGTGATTATGATTCAGTTCAATAGATGATCCAGCATACCTGAAGCCTGGAATCCAGGAAAAGCTGACGAGTTTGGGGACTAGCTCTGGGATTTTCTTGGACAAGATCTCGAAAACTCTCTGGCCTTTGAGATAGCTAGTTCCAAATGCTGTATGGGAGATAACGTCTCCTGTGAGCTTACGCACCTCTCCAGAGATTTCAATCTCGGGATTCTGCTCCATCGTAGCTTCCCATTGATCAAGCATGCGAGATGCGCACCCAGCGATTGTACCGGTCATTTGCTGTGTACAGGAGAATCAGAAACACTTATCAGCCAGACTTCATTGGAAGATAATAGTATGAATACCCACTTTAATACGTTCATGAAAGAATGCCGGTGCTACGAGTCGGCGGTGATGACTCCATTCCTCTCCAGTAACAGAAACTAATCCACGACCAAGGAACAAGTTCGCCAACCGCAGCACGGCCTCCGATTTATCAAACTGAGAAAACTTCTTAGACAAAACCTCCCTTACGATCTCAGGCTCCGAGACCGATATCCTTGGCTCAGTTCCCCACCAGAACACAAATCTCTTCCCTGGACCATGATCATCAGGAACGAAGCTTTGAGATTCATCAGGGATGACAAGAACATACCATATTGCTTTCGCCATTTGAGCAACGCAGGATGTACCCGATGGAAAATGTCGTGGCTGAAACTTTCCATGTCGTGATCCTTGATGGCGCTCCTCATGTTCTGGATTTCAGCTATTTGGCCTACCATGAATCGGGGTGGAGGCCCCTGAATGCCCTCCTTCTTGAGCTGCGCGGCGATCGCCCTGGGGCGCCACCAGTAGACCGTCACGAATCGCCATAGCGCTACAGTGAAGAGGACGATGCAAATGCTCAAGATCCATCTCCCTTCCATTTGCTGGACTAAGGGTAAAATGTGTGGGAGATGTGCCAGGTGGGCGAGTGCATTTAAGCCAAGCAGATGGAGTGTTATACAAGTAAGGATCTATCCATAGGAAACTACTTGGAACTTGTAGCGTTATACTGTTATTCATTCGTTTGTGGTGGTTTGATTGGATGACATTGCAAGTACGTCAATTTCAAACTAGAGTTTTAAACTGTTTATAATACTGTTTTGATATAGATATGCTCAGTATACATATATTTTTCTAGCCATTGGATTGAAACAACATAGTTTAAAATATTGCCAACAATGGAATAGATAAGACCGCCACAGTGGATCACATTCTTGTTTGGGCTTGCATTGCTTCACCAGCCACTGCACCATAGAAACTACCCCTGCAAAATCAGTGATCCACTTTGAATTGAAAAGAGATGGAAAACATATATCTTAGATGTACCACCACTGCTAACACTGCATTTACCAACTGGAATCTAAGTCCATCAATGGCTTCTCCCACCGGTGTATTTTTAATAAATTGTTCCATTTTCACAAAATAATCAAAAGTTCTCATTTGGACTTTGGTAAACTGTTAACCTATTGTACTTTAAAATGTAAGAGATAGAAAAAATGATAAATTGAAAACTCATTAGTGCTACTATTTAGATTTTGAGATGATGCTAAACCCAATTTAGCATCACAATATCAAGAAAAGTCAATGTAGTTTCTTCATTTAAAACTCAAAATGCCCCATGCTAAATTGTTCTCCATAAGTTGAATAAATGTAGAATATTTGTTGTTTTGGAAGTTGTGATATGCATTACATATTTGCTCCAATACATCAATTATAATATTGTATACTTAGTGAAGGATATTAGCAGTAGCCACAACCACACCATCAACATTCACTATATATATATATCGAGTTTGATGGAACACAAAATAATCTAATATTAAAAAGAAATTACCATATGCAAGGAGTTATTGGTTTTCTAAAATTTTAATTAATTATTTTACACATAAAAATTAAATATAATATTGTAATCACTTTGCAATTAGTAAAAAATAATCACTTCAACATTTTGGATAAGTTCATTTTAAGTTTTTCATCATTGTAAATGTAGTTATACAGCATACAAAATTAATTATGCAAAAGTTATCCACCATAGTACTTGAATATATACATTCTTCATAAGTTGTGAATAATTTTTTTCTCAAAACCAATCAAGCCAACTTTTGTATGTGGAAACAGCTCAAATATGACATCAATGCCCAAAAGTTTAAACATCTATAATAATAAGGAGGAGTTGCCAAACTTTTTAGACTGCCAAATCCAACAAATGGCAGTCATTTGATGGGGGTTATTCCTAATCAAGATATTAAAATGTGATTAAGAAAAATAACCTTTTGATTTCTTAACTCTTTGCCTCTGGAGATCCCAATCGAGGTTTTCCTTGGTTTTCTGTGCAGGTCTCAAGGGATAACTTACGTACACTTTAACATGGTTCCCTGTGGAGTCAATCTCCCACACACTCACCCTCGAGCTTCCAAGCTCCTCACCATGATCTCTGGCGGGCCACTTCAAGTTGGATTCATGGATACAGCTGGTAGGAAATAAGATTCTCTCTCTCGATCTTATAAAGAACATATGGGGTGATTTTCCAGGAGTACCACGCATCAACCTCTTGAACCCGGGCGATATCACGATATTCCCGCGGGGAACGATGCACTTTGAGATCAACGTCGGGACCAAGCCTGCGTTTTACATCTCGGCTCTCAACAGCCAGAACCCAGGAACTCTGATAAACAAGCTTTTCTCTTAACGTTTTTCTGATGTGTGTGTGTAGACAAGTGGTGGTGCGCTCTTGATGATCCCGGACAGGTCCGCTGCAACTGCGCTCAACGTAGGGCTGGACATGATCCGGAAGCTCAAGGCCAACATGCTGCCATATACGCCCCGGCTCGAGTTGGCCCCGCCCGCTGTGTGCGTTCCCGGCCGAGACATCACCACCAAGATTTAAGGTCCATTTACATTGTCCTGACTTGTTTGGCTGTAGTGTGCTGTTAACACTTCTATTTAAAGGCTGACTTTATTTCGAAGCGCTCAATCTTCCTTGCAATGAAATCAGTAGGTAGAGGGTACAGTAGCAGCACGAGACGAGCATTCTCTTTGGTAGCTTGATCAAGTGGTTGATATTGCAAAAACCACTAGGTAGAGTGTTAGGATCCTATCCCTTACACCCTAAGCCAACTGGCTAAAGGGGTGATCACTTGATTGCAGGGCCCTTTCCTTATCCTATTATCCTGACCTGGTGCCTAACAATCCTCCCCCTCGTCAGGGAATGATCGTCCGCGATCATACTTAGGCCACCATCCGGTCACCATGGTCCTTCTCTTAGGGTCTACCAAACCTTGGTTCTCCCTCTAGATCCACCATATTGAATATTCCTTTAGAATATTCCTGCCCCACTCGTCAGCCACAAGAATCGAACTGGGCTCCAATACCATTGTTAGAAGCAGCAGTACGGGATGTACTCGACGAGTTTTCTGATGTTTTTCCATCTGAACTTCCTCATGGATTGCCTCCATTACGAGGTGTGGAGCATGGGATTACATTGGAGCCGGGGACACAGCCAATTTACCGGCATCCATTTCGGTTAAGTTATGCGGAGGAGCAAGAAGTTCAACGACAAGTCAAGGAGTTACTTGAGTTTGGATTCATTCAGCCAAGTAAGTCTCCATTTGGTGCTCCGGTCTTGCTTGTGAAGAAGAAGGACGGTTCAATGCGAATGTGTATTGACTACCGCGCTTTGAACAAGAAGTTC